CATCTCCGGACCACTAGCCGACCCCTATCGAATGGGGCACGGGCCTCCACTCGGACTTACCCGATAGCAGCTCAACGGAAGTGTCACCGCTCGTGCCCACCGAGGGTAGCCTGGCATATTCCACCCCTCCTTCCGAGTGAAAAGGATGCGCGAGGGTCGCATAAAAAGCCAGGGGAACTCCTGACCGCCCTCTCGCTCCGTGCGGAGGCTCGGGGGCTCTCCCTGCAAACCTTGCTGAGACCCAATGACCTAGGCTCACACTCGAGGGGGCTCGGCAAACAACCCCCTCCTTCCGAGCGAAAAGGATGCGCGAGGGTCGCATAAAAAGCCGGGGAACTCCTGACCGCCCTCTCGCTCCGTGCAGAGGCTAAGGAGCTCTACCTGCAACTTTGCCGAGACCCAGCGGCCCAGGTTCGTACTCGAGGGGGCTCGGCAAACACACCCCTCCTTCCGAACGAAAAGGTTGCGTGAGGGTCGTACAAAAAGTCAGGAGAACTCCTGATAGCCCTCTTGCTCCGGGTAGAGGCTAGGGAGCTCTTCCTGCAGATATGCTGAGACCCTGCGACCCAGGCTCGCACCCAAGGGGGTCTCAGCAAACAAACCCTCACGCGCGAGGGGCGTATAAAAAGCCAGGAGAGCACCTAACGGCCCTCTCGCTCTGTGCAGAGGACAGGGGGCTCTTCCTGCAAGTTTGCCGAGACCCAGCGACCCAGGTTCGCACACGAGTGGGCTTGACAAACAACCCCTCCGTCCAAATGAAAAGGATGTGCGAGGGTCGAACAAAAAAGTTAGGAGGGACCCCTGACCGCCCTCTCGCTCTGTGCGGAGGCTCGGGGGCTCCTATTGCACCCAAGACAAGGACAAGCGACCCAAGCCCGCACCTGAAGACTCGAAAAAAACGTGATAAAAGGGCATCGAGCCCGTTATGGTCTAGGGGTTCGAAGGCTGGGCCCCTAAGGGTTTCGACAGCTGCCCCAGGGCAACAGAGTCAGGGACGACTATGGGCGAGCCCACATTTGGCCGAGACCCGAGCAGACAACTGCTCAGGACGCTCTAAGTCGTGTCCAAGACCAGCAGGGAGGTCTCCGAATGGGATCCCACCATAGGGAGGCACCGAGCCACCGGGGCTTAGCGAACGGCCCCGGCACCCACTAGAGAAACCCTCTGGTACTCTTGGAGTGCGTCTCTAGACCGCTAGCCGACCCCTAATGAACGGGGTTCGGGCCTCCACTCGGACTTACCCGATAACAGCTCGCCGGAGGTGTCACTGCTCGTGCCCACCGAGGGTAGCATGACACCCTCCACCCCTCCTTCCGAACAAAAGCGGATGTGTGAGGGCAACGCATAAAAAAGATAGGGAAACTCTGGTCGTCCTCTTGCTCGAGCGGAGGCTCGGGGTTCTTCCTATAACTAAACCGAGGCTCGGCGACCGAACTCGCATTCATATAGGCTCGGCTAGCGCTTAATAAAAATCCATCAGACGACGAAGAAAAGCCCCTGAGGAGTCAAATCACTCCTCTAGGGCCTCGGGGGCTACACCGGCGGGTGCGCTCGCGCGCACCCACCGAGGCCTCGAGTACAAAACACAATCCCAAACAGGAGCTGTTGCGAGCAAGGTCTCGACAAAAACCTCAGGAGAGTGCCTTCACTCCTCCCGAGGCTCGGGGGCTACTGTCGGATACCGCAAGAAGGGGTACCCTAAGCAAGAAACCAAAAATATTGCTTAAACCTTGTAAAAATCAAAGCCGAAAGACTACCGCAAGGTCTCAGCAGATTTCTCCGATTGTCCGAGGCCTTGCGCCGAAGCCTCATGCGAAAGGCCAAAAGCTCCCCGCCCCGCCGAGGCCCTCTCGCCGAGGCCCCGCCCCGAAAGGCCTCGGACGGGATGTCAATTCTCCGATTCGCTCAAGGCTGGGCTTGGCAAACAACCTCATTACCTCCGTCCCGACCGAACTCCTCTGACAAAACGTCACGTCCGGATTAATGCGCCCAACTACTCCCGCAAACGTCAGCCACACGCGGGTACAGTGCGGGTAGAGCGACCGACGGGACAGGGGATCGGGCGCAGCAGGGGTTACCTACCACTGTGCTCATCACTGTGCTCCTTACTGACACCCGTACTGCCTTGTGCTATCTAACCCCTGTGCCAAGGACCAAGCGGCGTGGAAGGTCAAGTCCAGGTCCCTGTAGTCTCAGCAACAGCAGAAGAGCCCAGCTGCTCGTTCTCCGCCTCGTCCGAGACCCCCCGGTAGGGCCTCGGGCGTACTGTTCTTTCTCCGCCTCGGCCGAGGCCGGGCTCGTCCCACATCCTCGTCGCCTCCGCCTCAACCATCCCCCTGCCAGGCTATCACATCCATTTAATGCTTTGAATGCACCGCTTCGTCGCCGCCCACGACCGGCGGGTACAACAGGAGAGCGATGGGACAATGATCAAATCTCCTTTTTTACCATGCCCTGCACTTTTCCACCTAAACCAGGTCACTATAGCCTCGAAATCGGTGCATAGGTCCAATCTGCTCCCTCTAGGGCTCGGCAAATCAGGCCTCGGTAGCGGTCACTATAAACACCCGCTTGTGGCCTCTAGAATCAGGCCTCGACATGGTTAGCTACAACCCGCTAGGCCTCGGCACTCCACCAGGTCAAGAGTCCACCAAAGCACGGCATGTCTCCGGCCGTGGAAGTCAAACTGACTAGACATCGACAAGGACCCCCACGACCTCAACCACTTCAAACTCGACCAAAGACGGGCGCGCTTGAACAAGTCTGATCTCCATTCCCAACGCCATCTTCTCTGAGACTAAACTGCGAGAGGGCTCCACGTGTAGCTCACTCATGTACTCCTGGCTCCTTCCTTGCGGTTATAAAAGGAAGCGGCCAGGGATAGCTCGGGGGGAGGGAGAAGGACATACGATAGAACCGCGCTCCCATACTCGCTCTAGACACATCCTGTAACACCCACGCTCCCGGGCTGCTTGAGAGCAGCGTCTCAAGCATTCTCAAGACCGCCCCACGCCGAGACACAGGACTAGCTCCTCTCTCACCCAAATTTTGTAACCTCCTACTACAAGCACTTTGGTGCAAGGAATACAAGACCGATCTCTCAGACTGGACGTAGGGCACCAATTGCCTGAACCAGTATAAACCTTGTGTCTTTTTGCATTACTATTCGGGATTAGGGGCACGCAGTTCACTTTTACTAGTTGGATGAGGGACCCCGGTCCGAAACATCGATAATTTTAAGCCTAATTAGTCCATGATTTGACAATGTGGTGCTACAGTAACACATGTGTTAATGACGGATTAATTAGGCTTAATAAATTCGTCTCGCGGATTAGCGACGGATTCTTTAATTTGTTTTTTTATTAATATCCGAACACCTTATGCGACACCTATGACACCCGACGTGACACCTCAAAACTTTACGCTCTGGATTTAAATAAACCCTGATAGCAACAGACTTGCTTTTTAGTTGTGTTTTTTTTTGAAAAAGCTTGTGTTTTCGCTATGGCTCAAAACTTTGTTTTTGAGATTCCCTGGATCATTTTATTTTTGTCTGTAATAAGGAACATCTATATGCATTGATCGATGCAGAAGCTGGGATATTAATATATTCCCTTTTAAAAAAAACAAGTCCTGATAGATGAAGAACAGGAAAATGACAGTAAAGAAACGAGTAATATAGATCGACGCTGTCATGCACGTACAACAGGTGACGCTGTGAGCAGGAGCCCAAAAGCGACTACTTGAATACTTGATCTGTGGTTGCTCAAACATGAGGTCTAGCAGACAGTCCGCAGCATCACAATCACATCACATTCACGTTAGCGGGCTCTAGTTGTTATCCTACTCCTGTAGATGGGCCCTCCGTGTATTACACCTGATGTACAGCATAATGACCTTGCAATACGCACAAGCAGGTAGATTAGTGCCGTGCTCTTCTGTTAAGGCCATGAGCATCTCCAAGAGTCTCACTCTCTAAACCCTAACTAGTCCTTCAGGTTCGCCCATGCGCGCGGTGCACGGGCTCCACATATTATTTTGGAGAAAAGAAAAGAAATAATGAAAGGTGGACTTTTTTTTGATTTGAAAAAAATCAGAGGATGTTTTCGTAAAAAATGATGAGAGTGTCTATGGAGCGCGGGTTGAATTTCGATAAAGTGGAGGTCTTTTTGCAAACAAACCAGTGCGCATCCGTTCTGGACTACGCGTCGATTTGGAAATAACATGAGGCGTTTTTTGTAAAAAATTCTGAGAGGACGTCTGGAGCGTGGGTTGATTTCCGAAAACTGAAAGGGGTTTTTCGTAAAACGACAGCGGCTCGCTCGATCTGGACCGTCCGCGCGGCCGATCGAACGGCCACGAAATAACAGCGACGTGGACGCGCTGGCTGAGCGAGCTGGCCACAACGAATCATATCTTCTAATTTGAAAGAAACATCTTGTCCGCCTTACAATAGCTTCTTTATATCTTATCCGTGCTTTAGAAAACCATCCTCGCTCTTTATTTTTAGCTAGCAAGGACCTAAGAATAGATGATGACAATATTGAGATGTCTAATTAAAGAAACTGTTAGAGTACTTTATTTCCCACCAAAATCTCTATACCTTGATATGTAAGAATAAAGTACACCACGAGGAGGGAGAGAGGAAGCAAATCCTCAGCAGTACTGCAGAGAAAACTCATCTGAGAGAGTAGCAGAAAATATTCCTTTTTCGCCATCTTATTCCAGTTTCAGCTCTCGTCTACTCAGGATTCACATCGAAAGGTATCATTCTATCGTATATGAATATATGATGTGCACCATCGAAAGGTGATGGATAATACCAAGTAAAGAAGCATCAGAGCACAGGACTGATACAAAAAACGTGACATGATCAAAGAGTGGCCATGTCTGCATCTTGCAGAACAAGGCGAATGACTACAAAAGAAATCTGTTCGACACATGGAGAGAAAAAAAAGATTACAGGTGATCCTGGAGATATGAACAAACATTTGGACGATTCAGAATTCAAGCCCGTGCTCTCTAGCAGAATCAGCAAGAGCTTTTATGCGGCCATGGTAGAGGAAACCACCTCGGTCGAAGACAACTTTGGTGATCCCTTTCTCCAAGCAGGACTTGGCAATCACTTCACCAATCTTTTGTGCTATTTCCTGGAAGCCAATATCAAATTTCTGTCACAAACAAATCATAGCCTATCTGCAAGAGCATATCTCATCTTGTCATTTTGAATCATGTATAACCAAAATTTAACCAATGCAGTACCATTGGAGATAAAAATCAATAGTCATCATAAAAATGATTGCACAACTTCAAACTGCTTTGTGTTTTCTATATGCAGAATCATCTGAAGAAAACGCAGTGTATGGCTCCCTGAGATTATCCAAGTTCCAGTAACCAGCCTATGCACAAGCCATTGTGATCACTAGAAAAACACGCTATCCTAAAACCTCACTGATTTTCAAGAAAGGGAGATTTGAACCTAGGACTTGACTATATTGATTATGTTGGCCATGGCTGGTTTTGTATATATAAGCAAACATTGAAGTGCCACAAATGACTGATGAAAGAGTGGATTTATCAATTCTGAATATACAAAGGCTGCATCGTCTGTTCACTTTTTCTACTCTGGTAGCTTGTTTTACTTTCACTGCAACCAGGGCTTGTCCAATGATCAGCGACATACGAGTAAGACTTTGCCTATTATTGTGAAGAAACAGGGATGCATGCATATATGTAGTGATTACACAATCTAGTAGAAATAACTGGTGTGTTTAAAGTAGGAGTACCTCCCAACGATGATTCAGTACCCAAACAACGTATATACATTTGATTGGGTCATACATAATTAATTACACGTTGAAGTCCTTAGCCGTTACAAGATAATTTATCTCTAGTTTCCAATGATGCTCCAAGTGGAAAGAATATGCATTTTCACTAGAGCAATCTTCCACTTGTATATGGAGTAAAGGAATGATTTAAGCAAGGCACCAGTAAACTCTCTGTTACCGACTTGCTGTCTTTGGAATGGTATTTGACATTTTGACCAAGATCAGAGTTTCTCAAGCAAAATAAAAGGAGGTGATAACTTACAATCGTTGGCCCAGCCGAGTATTCCAATTCCTTGGAGAGAGTTTTGTGCATGGTTGAAGCTGAAGCCAGAGTGCATTGCTTTGTATCGTCGATGACTTGAGCATACAAATGCTTGTTTGAGCGGAAAACACTCAACCTTGGCCTCTCCGTGGTGCCACTTACCTGTAAAGGAGTATGTGAGAATGACAACTGCGATAAACTTGTGGACCTCGCCTTTGGGAGAGGTTGTTTCAAGAGGGGAAATCGGTTAGTTTTCTGAAGTTGGGGGCATGTAATTGGTTTTTGAGCTCAGTGTGATGTTTTCTGTAGACTTCTTATCTTAGCTGTGTGCATCTTGGACTCGTTGTAAATGCTAAGACAGGGGCTCTGCCCTAGAACTCTAAAATAAAAATAAACTTGTGAACTAGCAGGAACTAGCAGTAAAATTCGTAGCTACATTCAATTCGTGAACTCTATAGCTGATAGATTCTTAGGCTACAACTCCAGAGAGGCGTTTTGTCGAACAGGTCGGAGGCACGGCATTACCACCACGGCCCCACCCACCGCTCGCGCAAATGCGCAGTCGAATGCAGAGCGAAAATGTCCTCGCTAGAATTCGTGCACACTGATGTCCACATTCTTACGAAGGAAGGAGGAGAAAGATTCTAACTTGGCTCTCGCGCAAATTTCTACCTTCTTGCGGACGCGCAAATTTCTACCTTCTTGCGGACGCGGACATGGCGGGCGATGCGGTCGTCCTGGGGCGTGGACACCTTGACCTTGGCGACGACGGACAGCGCCGCGCGACGGGCAGGCGCGGGGACGGAAGGCAAGGGGATGAGGAGGTTGCCGGACACGGACGCCGCGAAGGAGTGGGCGCCGGCGAGCGCCGGCGAGGAGAGCATGGCTCCCTTTGCGCCGCTGCTCTTCACTTCGCTCTCTCTGTCTCCCGCACAACGGCGTCTCCGTTATGGCCTTATCCTATCTGCTGTACAGCGTTTAAGCTTGACCAAATTACAAGAAGGACCCTTCCGTTTTAGTTATTTCAGAACAGAACAAAGAATCCAGGAAAAGAGAGAGAGAAAAAGGATGCATTTCGCATAACTTATTTCATTACAATACCTCTGGAACAAAAAAAACAGTAGAATTTAAACGGTTGTAATATATACAGTACAGTCTACCATTAAAATTAATTAATATTAACAAAATTAGGCATAGGCCTGGAAAATTAGGCTAGCCTTGCTAACAGCAACTGACGAAGCTCCCATTGTCGAAAGAATACAAGAATTAAAAGCGGCACTATATATATTTTCTTTTATAGAGGGCAATGTATCGGAATACAAAGGGAATGCAAACTTCTGAAGTTTGGTAGAATTGGAGTACTGTCACTTTATTCTGAGGTACAAACATAGAGAATGGTGCGCCAAGAATGCGAATATCTGCAGAATTTACAGCATATGCTTGTTCAGCAACTTCAGCTCACACTACTCTAACTAATATAAGTGTGTAATCTCTTCATCAATGAATCTAGGGTAGGAGGCAGTCCACTCTCATGGTATTACAGGATGGATAACCCACAGGGTTACACATTCAAGCAACCACCGCAGTTTCGACAGCAGTGGAAGCATGAAGAACATCCGACTCAGACCAATCCTGATCATCCCATATCTCAGGTAAAGCTTCCTTCATGTTATGAATGCTCTCCAAAGCATGGTCAGCCCCCGGAACAAGTGTCGGTCTGCCAACCTGCAAAATTCAGAAAGTTTTCTGTTCAAGTTTTCCCTTTGAACATGAATGACGGCTGATGTGGAATTTTAGACCATGAACGGTGTCTTACAATCACAGTATGGAAGCCTGCGGCCTTTCCTGAAGCTATGTTCCGAGTGCTGTCGTCAAAAAATATCTGAAAAATAGATTATTGGCATGTAAAATTTCCAGTGCGGCATTCCTTCTTGTTAGAACGTGTTCTTTTCCATGTTTCAGAGACGAGAATCCTTACTGTTTTCTTGGGATCAACATTTGCAATCCGAATTACAGCTTCCATGGCTTCAATGGAGGGCTTGCAAAGGATAGGCGATATGGGTCTGAACCCATCTGATTCATTCAGATCAACCAAGTTGGGAGATGTTTCATCTGGGAACAGCGTGCTGTTCCGGAACTCGCTCAGACCATTGCAAGGATTCAGTGTCTCAAAGCAAATCACACCATCGAAACAACCCAGTAAACCCAGTCTGTGCAGAGCCTCCTCCGCATGAGCTTTGTCAGAATTTGTGAATACCTGCAGTAACCAAATTTAGGTTGGTAAAAATGCTCTCCTCGACATTTTTCCAAACGTACCATTTCAGAATACAGCAAGAAAACCGAAAAAACCGGTTGCTTTTCATACTATTTTTCTCTGTGGAATTGAAAGTAGGAGGGTCCTCAAAACAGGGTCAGGCCTCAGATTGTGATATGGCAAGGTACCATGAACAGTTGCATGAAACTCATCATTATCAAATTCATAGCCTAATGCCTGCAGAGAATAACGACTGCACGATTATGAAGGAGAAGAAAATACAGGACAAATCATTTGTAAAGATTCAACAAGCGACTAATGGAACATGAGTTGTACCTTAAGGCCAGCCATTGTGGTGCCATATTCCTTGTACAGGTCCAGGCACATATCTGCAATATGGCCTTCTTCAATATGCAGATGGTGCCGCATGTAATCTGGTGGCCAAATTTCAAAGTTTCAGTGTCTTCAACATTTGCAGACAATAAAGCCTCATAAAGCATGAAGCCGTGGAAAATGATTAGTATCATTACTCACCTTGTATGTTTTTGCGACAAGCTAGATTGATGCCAACGCTGAAGGGATACAAAGTGTCATCAAGATCTGAAAATGAAATAGAAAAACATCATTATTTGATTGTACCACAAGATGAAGAAATAAACACAGCAAAAATTTCTCTGGATTTTTAAAAAGCAGGGAACACACCAAACAACAAGCACTCGTACTTCGGTCTTTCAAGAATAGACTCCATCCTCAACAGTCAAAAGCTGCAAAAAGTTTTCCTAAATTAATTGAGACCAGTTTTCAGAATAGCTATTATTTGACAACTGAAGATATATGTAAAAAGGATGCAAGTTTTGGATGTAACTCCATCAAATAACTCCTGAGTTAATATTTCTCTGGATGAAACTCTATGGGTTTATTTGAGCAAACAGGGTTCATTAATTCTAGCATAACTCCTATTATAGGTATTAAACACATCCACTAACTCCACCGCAGTTTCACAAATAAAATATTAGTAATAATTCACCAAATTTCCACCTATAAAAACCAGTTGTTCCTCCCAATCCTAGACCAGCAACCCATTCCAATCCATTACCTGCTTACACAATAAACGACCATCACCAAACCGTGAAGAAATGGCCAAGCTTGCCAACCTCACAGCTCTCTCCTCCTTGTTGCCATGGCCATGGCCACCATCTCGTCCGTGCATGGCGCCCGCACTCTTGAGAGAGTGGATCAAGTGACCATCCTGGACCCTTCGACGGTGGCGAAGCCCCCGAAGGCCCCCTCGTCCACGTTGTTGGAAGTTGAGGCCCTGCACCCTTTTGATGGCCTGTTTGAAGAAGCAGCAGACGGCCCCATTGCAGCCGAGTACCGTGCAACAGATTGCACTCGCAAGACACCGGCGTTCGGGCCCTAAGCGATATGGCTTATCATAGTTGGGTTGTCACATGTAGTGAGCACGGGCAGCTAGCATTACTAAATTTGTGCCAACCATGTAAACGATCTTCAAGGAATAAGCATGAATAATTGGATGGGATGCTGCTAACTTTACTTGTCATGGATAGAAGACTGAGAATTACAATAGTATGACTCATTTACAGCAAGGTCAACCAAAATGTAATATGTACTGATTCCATTTTGTCACAAGGGAAGGGAGGAACAGGGATATTGCACGCATCGATTAGAACGAACTCTTTTCACTGTTTCCTTTTACTAATTTCTGGTTGTGATATTCAAGACCCGTAAAATTGTGCTTAGAGGGAAATTTTGATGCTCCTGGTGAGCAGTTTATATGGCAAAGGAAAAGGGTTCTCCATGAATGTGGATTTTAGATCCTTCTGTTGACTTTTGGTTTTGTCAAGCATTTCTCAGATGATCCAGTATGTGCGATGAGAGGCTTAAGGACAAGACCCATAGTCACATAACAGAAGTGGAGATGTATCCCCACACCCTACTGGCTGCCAGAAGAATGAAGCAGTTGGTGTTGTCTGTAGCAGTGAAGATGATCATTTTCTAGATGCAAGTGCTGTTTTCCATGGTCTGACATGCTTCCTAGATGCAATTTGAAGCTACTTCTATTTTTTCCCTTGGACAAGAGGAGACTTATGTCATTGCATATACACAGATAGAAACAGTCTGTTTTAAATGCCGATTCCACGGCTTCAGTTAGTTTTAGGCATGCCTTAGTTTTATACTTTTACTTTGAAGTTACTTCTGAAAACTTACATTAGGAGTTGATGATGGTACTGCTCAGTTCACTATCACAAAAGAATGTCCAACTCTAGCAGCAGGAACAAGGTACAAGGCATTTCAAAAGGAGAGCTGTAGAAGGATAAAGTAACAGAGGAAAACAGAACAGTAGACAAGAAGGTTACCTTCAAAATGCAAGGACTTGAAGGTTTCTGAATCTCCGATGAATGGTGTTGAAGCCGGTGCTTCTGGTGCTGTACTTATAGCAGCCCAAAGCTCTGCACATGCAGAACAGTTATGCAGCTGCCTAGTAGATTGATTGATGGCATATTGGCATGATATTCAGCATTTGAACGATCCAGAAGCCAATTTGCCTGTAGCTTTCCATCATCGCAAGGATGCCTCTTTCCTTTCACAGAAGAAAGCAGGGGTGGTGTTCAACCTTGAAGGCCCGCATATCCTCACAAGTCAGAGGTGCATGGCAGGTACCTACAAAAGTGGCATGAGAATATATTGCCCGTTCGCTTGTTGGTTTCAGCCAGGGCTTATCAGCCAGCCAACAGTGTTTTCCTCTCACAACAAACCAGCACTAGCCGGGCTTATCAGCCTAAAAACCAACCAGCGAACATGCTGATTGTAATTATTGAAAGCACCAAAGAATATTACAAGCATCTTCTTGAAAATTCCTAGACTTTGGCATGGTTGTTGAGAAATAGGTCCACTTGGTAGTAATTGATGCCATTCCTAGCTCTGTTGTTTATCCAGCAGCCTCTGTTGAATTCATAGAGAACGGGAGAGAACACGAATAATAAAAGCTATGGCAAATCAGACACTTCCATGGCTCCAAGTTAGCACATACGTCATTTGGCATAGTTTGTGTGGTCCAATGGTTACTCAATTGGAATAACCACCTTCAGAGGAATGTTCCAGTGTTCTGGTACAAAGGGTACTTTTCAACTCATTGAATATTATGAGCATTTCATACTGGTTTACAACCTCTACACGACATGAAAAACTGCCCACAATTTGAAAAAAAAAAGAGAAGAAGACTTTATATAAGGTGGTAATTACACGATCCATACAATGCTATCACATTAAAGTCAAGGACACTTCTGCCAGTTCATCCTCTCAGCATGGGCTTAAAAACACCTTCCTGAAAACTCAGGATATTGCCAAAAGGTATCAAACCCTTGAAAGCCAGCAAGGAAAGGTCAGCCGGTGTAGCGGTAACCAGCATTAGATGTCGACGATGAACTGCAGTAGTTGATTAACTACGTTACAATAGAAATGGAAAGATTACAATAGTAGCATGAGATTAACATATATTATAGTGAGCATCCTTTCATGTAGCTGCAGCTATAGCTTCGATCAATCTTCTCATAAACCAGAGCAGCTACAGATTTAGATAAAAGAGAGAGCATAAGGCATTCCATGAAATCCTGATTGTCTGCCCAGCATAAATGGCTTTGAGCTACCATATCTGAAACCAGAGCTTGAACTCTTGCATACTTGTGGAGATGACCTGACCTTCAGACTTTGCCCTGGAGAACCTAGTATGCATTTGGGTTCCTGTTATCAGTTGAATATGAATGAATTAGAAATGGAACAGTGTGGCGTCCTTTCTTAGTTTTTAGAACTTTAAACAAATACCTGGCTAAAAAAATCAAAGAGTAAGAGAAAGGGCACAATCGATAATGCAAATAGGTCAACTAGTCCACACCACACAAAGTGCTTACCCAGTAGCATGGAATATGAGACGGAACATGGAAGAGACGAGAGAAATGTGTGTTTGACTAGAGATACTCAATCGAAATGTTAACTTTTTCTAAATTCAAATTTTAGTTCAGTAAAAACATTGAAGATACTCAATTGAAATGTTAACTTTGTCTGTTACAAAGGCAAATACGTACTTCTCAAGTGACAATAGCAGCTATATTATGAACATTAGTAAATAACCAAAAATTACACAAATAATCTGCACATCATTTCTTTGCACAATACCAATGCAAATCCATGATTAAGGAAAAATCAAACACAAGCAGAAAATGAAGTCTAAAATCATGCAAAACAACTGTACAAAAAAAGGTTTTGAACAATAGATTTTTAGATCTGCACCTTCTCAGTATGAGATCCTGGTAAGCTAGCAACTGGTGTCAAATGCTTCAATCTGGCACAAACAAAAAAGATAGCATTTTAGATATGTATATGGATAATTCTCCAATCTCCATGAGATAACATGGAGACTGCAAACTCACCTGCCTGGGGAATACCTATCCCTTGCAGCCTTTATCTTTTCTACTGCCTAATGAAAGAAGGCACAAATTTTTCCATGAAATCAACCATTTGGTGTTAGGATAGTTAGTGAAATAAAATAAATAACACATGCCTTTGTTACCCTATCAGGACTGAAACTGTTTTCTATTGACAAGAAATCCATAAGGCCCTGAACACGGAAAGCAAAGCATGCTTAGCTTGTGAAACAAAAGGAGTCGTGTACTATGGTCTATCAATGAAAACCTCTGAGTCTGGTGAGGTCCATGTGAAATCTGGAATTCCTGCACAAACATTAGGTTCCTTAAACAAGGTCCGAACTTCCTGGTAAGGCCAGTCTTCTGGAACACTGAATCTACAGATCCAAAAAGAACATGCACAGTAAGAACAGCATTTCAAGATCACTCAGAGAATAACATGGTGATCAAGAGAACCATGCCAGTAGCACCAACTCCTGAGTACAACCTACTTCCTACATGCAGATTCTATATTTCTTAGGTATAAACAGTGTAACAAAGAAGCTAGAGAAATATAAACTGGTTAATGACTGAGCTTTTAAATATTTAATTAATCTTTAATGTATTTTTTAAAGTTGTACTCCAGGCAGTCATCAAGGACTGGTCAGACTAAAAGGCAAACAGTTCTCATTGACAGCATATCAGCTTTTGCTGTTACAAACTGCACATTTTAGTAGATACATTTTGTGGCATGACCACATGTTAACCTGATGCCCCCTAGCAGAAGCACATAGCATAAACACCATGGTGACATAGCAAAAAGGGCAGTAGCAGAGTGCAGGATAGCAACAGAAGCTGTGGAGCAGGACGCAGAGCGGTGGTATAATCAGAGGCGTTAGGAGACGTTAGTGGTGTAAAACGCTTGGTGTGCAGTGTATAACATAGCAGCATAATAAAAAAAATGTTTTCTTCTCAGTATTATATGGGGGGAAAAGTGACTTGCAAAAAAAAGCAATTCGGAAAATTTGCGGCCCTGTTAACACTAACAAGGCACACATAATTCAATGCTATTCACGTTAAGCATACGTTAGCATGTCCATATAACATAACATCATTGTCGCCACTCGCCATTGAAAAGGCATTTGGCATTCCATTGCATACATTATCATTTCATGGAGTTCAAAAAATGTGTACTTTTCTGGCAAAGTGGCAACCCCAACTCACTAGAGAGGATTTGAGTGAACATGTGACTGGATGTATAAGACAAGAACTATCTCATCCAACCATACCTCGTCTGGTTCAGATTTTGCAGAACTTCTTCTATGCAACCATGCTGACGAATGAGTTTCAAGGCTCTCTGTCCCCCGATACCTACAAACAAAAGAATATGACAGTTACAAGAAAATTTAAATACCTTATAGATTACATTGTGGTGATGAATGTTATTGGTTTGAAGATTGTTCAGATTGTAGATAACATATGGCGCCAAACTATCAGCCTAAAGCAAAGATACTATAAAACAAACTTTGGAGCTTGAAATAACATTGATTCAGGATTTAGTCAACAGAAGGAAATTACAGAAAATATAATTGAGCCGAAAACCTAAAGCCAGGGACATTTGGCCTCCACAGTTTATTGCTGCTAAATTTGGGGCAGCGTATATGTTTTTTATCGAACATGCAAGAGAGCTGCGTATCATTTCATTATATTTAGAAAGGTCTGAAATGCAGGGGAAGATATCCACAACAACACTCACGCACACAAACACCCACAGCACTCTAGAAGAAAAGAACAAAACTGAAAATAAAGACCGCAGCGTTTATGTTAAAGCCACATGAAATGAGCAGATGAACAACTACAATAACTAATCAAGGGAACCACAATCTCTTAGGGCCCGTTTGGATCCTTGGAATTGAATTCATTCTAATAATTACAATTTAGACATAGATTAATTAAGATAATATAGTTGTATATGGAATATATTTGTATATTTATTGTTAGGCATACAAGGGACATACTTATATGTTGCATTTCTATTGTAAGGAAGTGAGTTGAAGAGTGTGCTATAAGTTGGATAATAGAATTATAGCATAGTGATCTATAGAATCCATTTCCATCTCCCACCCTATTAATTTGAGATAGGCTTATTTGTGAGCTTAGGAAAGTTATGGAATGTCAAATTCCAAGCCAAATAGCCTAATCCATTATGTAGATTTCAATTCCTCTAAAATGAAGGGATCCAAACGGCCCCTTAATAGAAGCTATTTACTGAATCATATGATGAGTTTAATCTAATGAAAATACCTTTAATATTCTCACAGTAATCACATCCACTAAGGATACACAAGTCAATGAACTGATCCATCGTGAGACCAAGTTCTTCCAAAACCTGGAAAATCATAAAGAATCGCTAAGACACTAAAAGATAAAAGAAGATAAAGAAAATATGTGATGATACCTTTGATACATCAAATTCTGTTACAGGAGATTTCTTATAACCAAGGTCAGTTAAGTGACGAAGAAACCTTCGGGCACCAAAAGTCAGTGAGTCCATGTCCTCTGAAGCTACAGCATAAACCTGGCATTCACAACTCAGAATGAAAATAAAATAAAATTATGCTAAGATCCAGGAATTAACTTGGTATACCTGATGATTTTCACAAAGTGTTGCACACTGTGCTTCAGCCTCACCTGGTGCCTGTGGAAGTGATCAGGAAACTTAATTACTTATTACCTTTTTTTCTCGAACACACAGGAGAGCTATGTGTCATTCCATAAAAAGGTAGAAGCGGTCCGATTACATGCCGGTTCCACAGCTTGGGCTAGTTTTTCAAAGGATTTGTGGTCTTTTATACATTACTTATTACCTATGATGCTATAACAGTACGAGATCACAAAGACCAGGTACCATGCTTGCATCGCTGCCATCTAATCAGAGTACAGAATGTGGTCCAGACAGAATAATCACATAAAAGACATCTTATTTCAGTTAAGCCATCTGCTTAATCCCCCCATCAACAAGAGACTTGGCTAAGCTTACCAAAAAAGTTTCTAGAGCCCTAAGCTCATGAACCTAGAGGGCTGACTCATGAGTTCAACTTGAAATGTACGAATGTAGTCCCTCTGGCCATGTATCTATGGTGTTTAAGCTGTATACTATTAGAGATATGTATAGTCTGGAGAAGTAGAGATATGTATGTATTTTAAGCATTCCTAATATTCCACCTCGGTTACAGGCTCAAAACAGCCCTCATTAAATTATCTCCCAAAGCTCAAGCGCTTTAGAGAAGGGCATCAAAGTTTTTCCCTTCATGCTTATTCTGTGCTAAAAATCTCAGGAATGCTAACATACATAGACAGAGGGAATGTCTTAAACTTGTCTGAGAAGCCATACAAATAGGAGTTAACCAAACGCTTAAAGCATCCTAGTGCAAAACCATTCTTTAAGTTCAAAAGATTATCAATATTCTACTGACCCCCCCTTGGCACTGGAAGAAGACATCAATAAACGGCACTAGCTGATCTGTATAGAAAAGTAAAGAAAAACAAACTTAACAGACAGCTGGACAAAAGCAATAATGATACCTCAACTACAGGGACGCCCATCAATCTTAACAGCCTCTTGCAGTCATCATTGTGCTTTCTTGTAACCTGGAAAGGGAAGGCAGAAATCACAGTACATGCTCAGAATGACTCCACAAGTTAACAAAAATTAGTACTAGCACTCTCAATTTGCTTAAAAGGCTTAAACCGTTTTGCTAAAGAGACTCCAAATGACATATTTCATGCAAGACTAGAGGTTGCTTCATCTGATATAAATTCAAGGACACTTTTCATTGCTTATTTCTTCAAAGAGTATGATCATTACCTTGACAGTCCTTTTACTAAATTTTTCAATTGCATCCTTATCCCCAATCTGTAATGCAATTGGCACTTTAGAAAACCAGCAAAAACAATGAAAAAGATAAACAAGGTCGATAAGAAAGCTCTAGAACTACATTGAGGATCAACTAACCTCCATAGCTCTGTTAAGATCTTGGGTAGCATCATCCCTCTTCAAGGACCTAATAATAGCAAATATTAGAAATCGTGTATTGAGATTTAATAGTGAAGATGAGCAAAGAAATAATTTGATTCATACCTTTTTGCAAGCTCCTTTTTCTTCATTTCAGGTGGCTCACCATCAAAAACAAATCTAGCATAAAAGCTCAGCACAGTCAGCAAAAGTAAGCTAACTGCAAATAGTTGACAAGGACCACAGGAATGCAAGCAGCTTACACGGGCTTTATCCCTGCTTCTAGCATTCTTACCGTCCGGTTCAACATACCCTGCAGATGACTACACAGTACACAGAGATGGAAAGTTAAATAAGCCGGAACGATAATGATCAGACCACAGGAAGGGCAAGCAATATTTCTTGCCTTGTGATTTCACCAGCATCATTGGTCAGAAGCTCTGATCCTTTCCTTCCAACCACGATCTGCAGAAAATAACGACACATTTGATATGAATCAAATGAAAACTAGACAAACACACTATAGTACTATGACCCAATAAACAGTTAAATGCAATAATACAAATGCCTGCACATGTTAATAGCATGAAACTTTTGAGAGAACAAAAATTGTGCCGCGGTTTTGATAATTGAAATTCTGCCAACAACATTAACCTCTGAACCTTTTTTTTTCGTGGCCATGCTGAATCACGTATTTCATTAAGAAGAAAGAAATCAAGAACCATTACTGAAAAGTGGTGAGCCTAGGCTTACCCAAGTCGAACCTGACAAGACAAGAAGCACTAGGTGTTATTTACATGATAGATTTGCGACTGTAACAAACCATCATGTTTGTATGCATGCACGTAATACAGCAGATGCCAGATGTAACAGAACGTAGCAGTTGGCACAAACACTTTTGTACCCCTATGAACCAACATAGGCATGAATCTCCAAACTGACTGTGCTACCCACAACAGCAACAGGCAGAAGCAGAAATCACACACACATGCTATCGCACCAATTTTGAAACCGCGAACACTCCCTAGGACACATCACCACATCATCGTTGAAATTTAACCCAACCGCAAAACAATCCGCAGCACTGGACTGTACCCAGATGCAACGACGACTCACGACACAAGTAAACGGCCGCAGGAAACTGAAAGCCAAGGGGCCGAACAGACAGAGGGGGCGGGCTGGCGTGAGGGCTCACGAGGAACTGGTAGATGCTGAGGCTGGCGTCGACGGCGATGACGCGGCCGCGGTAGTCCTCCACCCGCCGCTGCACCGCGGCTCTCGGCGCGTGCTCCGCCAGCAGCTTCGTCAACCCCTAGAGCACGCCACGAGCGCAGCGGCTGTTACATCGAGAGACCAAGGGCAAAATTGCAGCGGTGAACCACCAAATCCCTGGAGGAGAGTACCTTGATTCCCATGGCGGTCGGAATCGGCGGCGCTGGCTAGGACGGGGACGGCGAACCAATGCGCCGCCGCGAAGGCTGTTTCCCGCTTCGGGACAGGAGCCGGAAAGTCGGGAAAGGGTGTGGAAACGGAAGTGGATAAAATCAGCGGGTTTGGGCTGTGTTTTTACGTGCATTTTAGAGAAGGAAAAGAATGCTTGGGCTGTGCCGCTGCAGCTTTATTCAATGGGCTTCCAGGACTTTTTATTTCTGATTTTTGGGCTTTTGGCCCATCGATCAGCCTACGTATGTACTAGTATACTACTGTAGTAGCTAAAAGCAATCTACGTACATATAAACTATTTTTTTTATCTTTTTACAGTATAGCATAAAACCTCTCTTTTTATTTTTATTTTTTTGCTAATTACACTGTAGAGACGTAATAACGCTCAGAAACACACGTGCATAGCATGCGTCATGCGTGTATAGGGATTATTGCTTCCACTGGCCTTATAATTTGTCTTTTTTAACTTGTTTTTTTAGCTAAAATAGTGTTTTTCTCTCACGAAAAATTATTCGAAAATAGTGTTTCGTCTTGTTTTTTTAGCGAAGCGAACGGAGCCCTAGTTGCAATTATGTGATAATCGAGCGCAATGTAGATCTAAATAGGGTCTATATTACTTGTCTTTCTAATTCGTACCGCTCGACGTGGCCGCTCCATGGCTTTTGAATGTGCGTCGTGTCGGATCGCATGCTCTCACTTTTTATGTACTCCCGTGGAAACTGGAGAGATCTGCTCTATGGTCAGAAAGGAAGCATGTGCATCGTTGCCAACGAGATAGAAATAGAATCAGCATATGAATAGTACTGCGTTCCTATGTGCATTCCGTTGCCAAATTGTCGATTGGCCCAATAATTCGGATGCTTACTATATATATCTACGTACTTTTATTTACAGCTCAGTAAAAAATAGGAAATATATAATATTGTGGAACTTCTTTCTAAAGAAATCTACTTCTATAGTTCTATTGCGTCCAAACATTCGACTCAACACGTAAAAACTCAAAGTAATGGTAAAAATATATATTTTAGGGAAGAGCTTTGGTTAGAAAATGAGCCTTTGATGCTTAAGTAGTACCCTTCGCTTTTTTATAGAATAGATAGGAGAGATAATACCACAGATTAAAAATACTTTAAAATGTCTCGTTTAGACGGACTTTGACAGGTAAGGAACTGACGGAGTGGCTTAATTTGGCGTGAAAAAAGAACCAAACCAGAAATGAGCCATTCTTATGAAATGAATGTCATAGATAAAAATGCCCTTGCGTTCCTTCAAAGAAATCAAGAGCACCGATGACACAGAATTACCTTTGATTTAATGATTAAAGTTTTTCTTTCATACATAAAGAACTCGCAAGCAAAGAAGGGAGTCGTTTCAATAACAAAGGGTAATTGGCTAAAAGACGTTGGGAAGGGCTGCGCTAAATGTAATTTTCTCAAAAGCTTAGAAACAGTTTTTGAACTGGTGCTACTGCCATGTGTTGGGTTATATAATTGTATACAAGTGATATTGTCTTCCAAAGAAAAGACCTACACGTACTTCTCACTCATTTTTGCAGCTTTATTTGGGTGGGGTAGGAGTCACACAACTATTTAAAGACTCTTCTGAGGAGGTTAGTCGCTTGTTAAAGACTCTAGTGCTAGAACTTTTTTTTATCAAGTTTGGATAGCGAAATCAGAATAGGATATAGAGGCCTACCCCGTCTTCTCTATTTCATGTCTTAAACTTTGTACTTTCGTGCGGTGGGCGGGTGGAGTATGGTCTAATCACTGTAGATATATTGTGATCGGCTCTGTACTCACTTGGCTGGTGAAAGTTGTAGGCCAGAATATATTCCTTCATTAAAAAAATGTGTAATCAGTGTCTCGGGTAGTAGACTGATGCATGCGGCAGCTTCTTTGCATATGCATGATGCGGTGTTAAATCAGTCAAACACTTTAATTAATATACAATCCGTTCCAAATTATAAGACGTTTTGACTTTTTTATATTAATAATTTTTGTTACGTGCACTTAGATATACACTATATCTAGATGTATAGTGAAAGGCAATATATCTGAAAAACCCAAAACATCTTATAATTTAGAAACGGATGGAGTAATTAATTAAAAACATCCATGACCAGGCATTGTCGTCTGCATCAATCTTTGGCTCCGATCAGCGTAGTTCAATCGCAATCCACCCAATCCAAGATGAGAAAGAACGCCGGGGTGGGTTGATGGTGTCAGATGCACCATCCATCCAATCCAATCCACCGACGGGAGAGAAAAAAAAAAGAGATTAACGACTGAACGTTCGCTCCCTCGCACGTGCCGTGTGTGCTTCCGTGAGACCGTGACGCATCGATGTACAAGTACATACAGGCGCGCGGTACAGCAAAAAAAGTGCCTCGTGATCGCGGCACCCAACGGCACACGCTACGGCGGCCATAGGCCGTGAACCCGGCCCGCCCACCGCCCGTGCCCGTGCCCGCGCCCACCGCCCACGCCCACCGCCCACGGCGCAGCCCGGGCCGCCTGCGCCGCAGCCCGCAGCGGAGCCAGCTCCTCCGAGGGCCGCCACGGCCACGAGCGCCCCGGACGCGGTCCAGGGTCCACCCGGCGTCGCGTCACCTGGCGGCTGGCGCCCACCACTCTTCCCCTTTCCTCTTTCCGCTTTCCCCGTCCGCACAAAGGTCGTGGGGCGGGCCCCGCCCCTCGTCGGGCCGACGTGGCAGAGGCTCGGCACTCCCCGTATTTATATACGCCAAGCGCGCGAGAGAGCAGTCGCAGGCCAAGCATCTCTCTTTCTTCTCCCGTTTCTCCGCCAGAGGCAAGCGGCGTCCGCATCTGTCCCTCGGAAGTTGTTGCGGGTAATCTCGCTCGTTTCCGCTCCGCTCCCGCCATGGAGGAGGCCAAGGGTAGGTCTGCTACTCTATCGCATGGCTGCTACTGCTAGTATATGTTACGGTCTGCGATTGCGGTTTTCTTGGGTTCGTGTGCTAAGCCAGAAATTCGGGATCCAGGAAGTGTGGAGATCTTGGGGTTCATCGCTGCTGCCCCCGTTGTTGTACTTGTCGCTAAGTGGTGAGAGATTTTATCTTCGGTATAAGGAGAGGGCGGATTCCAGGTTTCTGTTCCAGTGCGTGCGTATCGTGATTTAACTAGGAACTTGCAAAACTGGTGGTGTTTGACGCGCGGTGGCCCGCGGTAGTTTCAACTGAAGATGCACTTCGCAGCGAGAGACTGGGAGGAGTAGATTTTGAGTGTTGCAGCAGCAGTAGTGGGATTTTAGCCATTCTTACTCTGTTCTGTTCGTCGGTGTCTCAATTCTGCTTTTACTGCCTGCCAGCCAATACACGTTCTGTTCGTCGTCGTCGGTGTCTCGATTCTGCTTTTACTGCCAGCCAATGCATATTCGGACTTTAAAAAAAGGTTAAAATTGCCTCCTTTACAACTTACTAGAGGCAGCACAAAAGCTTAGTCTTGTAATTTCTGCCTAGGATAATTATTATAGATATACTGGTTCCTAAATCCTAACGGATGGGAAAAGAGGGCTATACAACTTGCCAAGTTATAAATTATGCGGTGCTAGTAATGTTGTGTTGTTTTTTTGCACGAGATTATCTGTAATTCTGTATGAAAACTTGTGTGCACCATTGAGCAGCTAAAGCTAAGCAGGGAGTGCCTTGTCTGCTCCCTCTCTGCTACAAGCCTACAACCAATCAATTATACAATCTACCTGGCAGTTGTAGAGTGTCCATCTGTTGGCAATCCAGTTTTGCTGCCAATTTGTTTTCCTGCTGTTGAACAGTGGAATGCCGTGCTAACAGCCTAACATAATCTGTGTACACCAGTCTTCCTTCATGGCCTTGATCACCGAACCTCCAAAAGCATACTGCCTGCTTTTGTAATTTGGTTGCTGTATTTCATCATTCTTGAATATAATGTTCATGTGTGCTGAACAGTATATTTCATCATTCTTCCTTTTTGGATCAGGATTTGCTAAATCTTAGTTAACTTTGATGGCTCATATAGTCGTATGTTATCTTTCCCTCTATTGTAGTTGTGGAGTCCAAGGACGGGACGATCTCAGTTGCTTCAGCATTTGCTGGTCATCAGGAAGGTGACGTTGTTGTTTCCTCACCCACTAGACTTTCTACTCTCTTGCCCCTGTTTCATTGCATGGCATGATTCAAGATTCAACTAATACAATCTATGTGTTCCTGTATACACTGTTATTCCTTACTGTGAAAAAAAAAGAGACTTGCTTATTTGAGCTTTGGTTTATCAAACAGCTGTACAAGACAGAGATCACAAATTTTTATCAAAGGCAGTTGAGGAAGCATACCGAGGAGTTGACTGCGGTGATGGAGGACCATTTGGTGCAGTTGTTGTCCACAATGATGAAGTAATAGCCAGTTGCCATAACATGGTTTTGAAGAACACCGATCCAACTGCACACGCTGAAGTAACTGCGATAAGAGAGGTAGATGCTTTGTCGACTGGCGCTCTAACTTGCACCGCAGCATCTTAATATGTGGACCCTTGGGCCTTGACCATCCAATTGGTTACTCCTTCCATGCTTTGGTGTTTGTACCACATTCAGCTTGGAAATAGTGAAATGTTACATTCATGATTCATCTTTTACAGATGTGGAATGACTCATTCCATCTAAACACATATGTTCAATTTGCAAGGTTCAAATTTAGTGCCAGTAACTTAAGATGATTATCTGCAGCTGAAATCAGTTAAACGAACCAATCAATAGCTGACTAAATTTATTTATATTCCTGTGAGGAGTTAAAACTGATGGTTGGTCTTTAATATTTCATAACTTTGTTTTTATTTTTTTTCATTAGGAGTAGATTGTATGGAAATAGATACTTTCAAGATCACTGAACCAAAAAAAAAGTATTTTGTATGGTCTGCCTGACTTTTGGGACTATGGGCGTGTTGGGATAACACCCTGAGCCAGGCAGCATTGCCCAGGCAGCGCATCTGACCCCAGGCGTAAAAAATCGGACACCTGGGAACGCTTGCCTGGGTCAAGTGTGTTCTCAGTCCGTGAAGCAAACAGGTCCTATAATTCTGAATTATTTTTCATTCAGAGTGTTCGCTGCATTCTACATTAGTTTTCCTTCCATTGTTAAGACAAGACAATACTCGTCTCTTATAATCATTGTTTCTTTTGTACACTAGGCTTGCAAAAAGCTTGGGAAAATTGAGCTGTCAGATTGTGAAATTTATGCATCCTGTGAGCCATGCCCAATGTGTTTCGGTGCTGTTCATCTATCCCGGATTAAGGTTGTTTTCTTAACTTAGTATTCTTCATGTGATCGAATATATGGAGCATGTTACTGATAGCAATCTTGTCCAATGCTGTACTGCAGAGGCTGGTCTATGGAGCCAAGGCAGAAGCTGCAATTGCCATTGGATTTGACGATTTCATTGCTGATGCTCTCAGAGGAACTGGGTACTACCAGAAGGCCAACATGGAGATAAAGCAGGCAGATGGAAATGGAGCCATGATTGCTGAACAAGTATTTGAGAAGACTAAAGAGAAGTTCCAAATGTATTGATCCATGGAAATACTTGGTGGGATGATTTAACATTGTTATAGCCCTCTCAAAAAGAATAACACAACCTCTGGTATTATGTAATTTGTGATGGGCTACAAATTGTCAATTTGAACACACTTATTTATCATTGTGCTTCCATTTCTGAAAACAAGAATGTTGTTGCTCCTTGTCCTTTAGTGAGCAGTTGATTCTTAATTTACCTTATAGCAGTCTTCCACACTCTATGTACCACTTGAATTCAGAGGTCCTGAACTTTCGATTGCATAGCAAAGGGGTACTCGGGGGCGAGGGATCAATGCAGTTGGTGCTTCTGAGTTTTATTAAAGCACGGAGGTTGATGACTCGTATAAATTAAGCAATAGTGTAATGAGATTAGCAGTATTCTTTTCTGAACTTTCGAGTTTTAGAAGTGTTTTTAAATATGTACTTTGTTGTGTTGAACTCGTTAGGTAAATATATGATTCATGGTCAGTGCACATGCAGTGACTTACTGCTTAGTTGTAGAATGCATACTGGCTGTGGAAGGGTAAACTAAGACAGAGTTTGTGTTTTTTTGTTTCAGTTTGGTGCACACTGTCAGTATGTCATGATTCGCTGTGGCGAAAACAATAAAGCGAGACTAGCAATCCTGATAGTTCCAGGCCTCAAGAGAAGTATCTGTGCAAAGCAGGATAATACCATACCCTGATAGTGACAGTTGTAGTGTAAGATCTCAAAACACCATGTTTTTTATGCTTTTCTTATTGCATCGAATTTTTTTGGTCCCGTGGCAACACAAAGGTGTAGACCTAGGTAAGAGTTGGCCATACTAGAAGATGATTAATTTCTTGTATCTTTTATTAAAAAGAAAAACTATGTTCAAAACCATAAGTTATGCAGATCGCATTCACATATCAAAAATGGGAACAAAACAGGCAAGATACATCAAGTCATCTCAACAGCTATATACATGAAGCAAGCGGCACTCTAAGCACAAATAATTGCAAGAATCAGATATACATGACTAATAGGGCTCATTCCATGAAGCAAGCCCCTTTGCAGCAATAACAAGCACAGCTCTCTACCTACACTAAAATGAAGACAACTCCAGTAAAGGATTTAGCAACCGGCTGGTGCTCGATGTATGTCTTGGTTGCTGCACACGCATTGCAGAAGAACCGCTTCCATCGTAGCAAATGGGTGTCTGTCTACAATTGCTTTTGAGCTGTTCGCATGATTCTGGGATCACTGAGTTTGAATATCCTTCAATAAGTGAACAATTCCATGGATGTGCAGATTGCACACTGAGGGAAACATTGGACAGACAAATGTTGCTGAAATTGTCCCCCTGAATGCCTTCCAATATACCAGCAACGCCAATGTTAACGCCAACGACATCCTTGATTGTAATATTGCTTATCACAGGGAGAGCAGTCCTGTCATATTTGTCATCAGGATGTTCACCATAGTTTCCAGTGATCCTGATGGCCATCGAAACATTGTCCATGCTCACATCTGCTATGTACACATTCTTCACGTACCCTCCACGCCCTGGGGCTGTCTTGATTCTGATCCCATGAAGGGAGTTGACAATGCGGAGGCCCACAGCCCGGACTTCTGATATGCCACCTGACATCTCACTTCCAAAGGCAATCCCTGCACCACCCCTTGTCTCCCCTGTGATGTTGCTTATGCTGATATTGGAGCTTGGTTGAGCAAATGAAATGCCATACTCATCCCAGCCACTTTTAATGACAATAACATCGTCACCATTTCTTACATAGCAATGATTGATGCACACATTCGTGGAAGAGTCTGCATGGGTTCGGAGTTGTATTAGTGCCACAGATGCAAATATGATTGATGGCAATGCAGATCCAACATAAGTAAAAAAAAAAAACATAGTTTTGCATGAACCTCTTAAGTCTTAACTACTGGTTTATCACAGATTTGGAGGACTGGGATCAGGTCGCGTCTTAAGAAAAAGGCTGGTCACATGTTATGATAGTTTGTGCTTATTTTATTTACTATTTTTATCACTACATAACAGCTATCTGAAGCTCAAAAGTATGTCCCCACTTCACAAAAGAATTGCTTGCATATATTGAGAGATCTCAGCCATACAAATCAAAAGTAAATGAATTTTGAAAGCACAAAGAAGAAGAAAATTTTTTGGAGAGAGAACATGTCAAATGAAATTTCAATGACTAAAGTTTCTCTCCCTTTTCCTCCTAGTCTGTTTAGTAACAAAAGTTCCCTAGTGCAGAACCAAATGGGGGGAAAGGAGCAAACAATGTAATAAATTATGAAAGCTTAGACATATCGAATAATTGCAAGTGTCATATTACCTGGATTAATGCCATCTGTGTTTGGTGAATTCAAAGGCGCAAGGATTGTGACATGCTGGACGAGCACTTGGCTGTTTACGTAGCAAAAGCACTCCAGATAATATATTTGTATTGTGAATGAATTTTTATGTTTGAACAGAAAGCAAGTGGCTATCTAGAAAACCAACCTGCAGTATACAGGGTGGATATTCCAAAACGGCGAGTTCTTGAAGGTTAGATTAGATATGACAACATTGGTAGAATACATCAACTCAACAAGATGTGGTCTAGTATAATTCAATGTGTGGTTGTGGAACCGGCCCCACCAAATAGCTCCTTGACCATCAATGGAACCATTAGCACCTGCCCAAGAGCAACATTTACAGTACTGATAGGTGATAGTTTCAAAAAAAAACATTTACAGTACTGACAAGCTAACTAAATGATATTTGAAGAACATGGGGTGATGCAACTATAGTATTTACTAACCAGTTATAATAACATCCGTCAGATTTAATCCAAAAATCAGACTCTGATGCCTTTTTCCAGGAAGCTCTCTACCTCGCCCATAGGATGGAAGAGGATCAATAACTGGCCAATGAGATGAATCCTGCAGGATGCATTCAGGGCATTACAGTCGAAGTATAATAAAAAATAAAGTTGCTATTCAACACCGAAAAAACAAAAGGTTTTAAAACTTTTAAGGAAAGTGATTTTTTTAGAATTTATTAATAATAAATATAACATATGCAGTTGGCTTTCTATCGATTCCTAGAAGAAAGCTAGATTAATGATAAGATTCAGCAATATAAGTTTGTCTTGTTCATGTGCATAACGTAACAAACAGACGTTCCAAAGAATATATTATTGGAGTACAAATTATCTTTGTGCAAAGTGTGCAAATCAGCTTACCGGAGATCCAATTATCACCGCATCCTTGTCCAGTGATAAAGTGAGATGGCTGATAAGATTAAAACTCCCTGTCAGCCACCTTCCTGCAGGCACGAAAAGCTGTGCGCCACCCTTGTCCGCAAATGAATTGAGATAGAAGATTGCATTCTGGAATGCCTTTGTATTGAGGGTCGCACCATCCCCGACGGCACCAAATTCAGTTATTGTGACACTGTGAGGACGATATACATTCGGGGGCATGTCCTTGCAGTATATGCTGGATACAGTGGACCATTGGGTCTCAACCATGGTTGTGAAAACCAAAAGGACTTGAAACAACTGGCAGAAACTCCAAAGGAAAAAAAAGAGAGAGGGAGATTCAGTAACAATCACATATACCTGTGCTAATAATTTGCGTCACCAACAAAACATGTAACATGAAGAAATTTTCATCCGTGAAAACACAGAGCAATGAATTGACCATAACTATATCCATCTGAAAACAAAGTTTCACTCAAATCTTCATCGGGATGGTTCTATAGCATCTGAACACGCCACAGGAAGCTGAAGAGGGCCAACTCATTTAGTTTTCTCTCGTATTACCTATCTTCAAAATTGTTTTATTGAATTGTGGATCAAGGTGACACTATGCACCTCCACTAAAGCGTTATATCAAGTGTTTGGAACACGAACAGATTTTCTAAAAAAAAAAATTCCGATCAAGTGACGGGAAAAACTAAGAGTGAAGCACGAACAGTCTAGTGGACATGAGCCTCGAGATGTTGGGCATAAATAACGCGACCTGATGACGACAGATCACGCGGCAATGCCACCAGACGGCAAACGCCACGCAGGAATGCAGGATCGATCTAGGACGGACCAACGCGGCATTCAGATGGAGCAGAAAGGGCAATGGGTCGTGCTCTCCTCACCGGAACCCCGTGACGGCTAACGGCACGATCCGTCATCCCTTCTCGCTCTCCCGATCCCGGGAGACGAGGAGCGCGGCACGGGAGTAGACGGTAGGGAGAAGGCACTCACAGATGCAGATCTCTTCATCTTCTCCGGCGAGATCTTCGAATCCGTGGGCTGCTGCTCCTCACAGCCGCCGCCGACGCCGACGCCAAACCCTCTGAGCTAGCGGTGGAGACAAGAGACCTGGCGCCCGGCTTCAATGCGGCACGCCGGCGTGGCTGGACCCGCCTGCAACGACAACGACCCGGCAGCAGGCCCATCATCAATCAATCGGGAAAGAGAAGGAGCGGCGGCTGTTACAAACTGTAACGAACAGTGGGCGCGCGAGGGCAGGGACGGAGCAGGAGCGAGAGCCACCCAGCACCAGGACTCAGGACACGTCGGTCGGTCGGTCGATCGCCGGGGCCGGGATCAGCGGCGCGGCGGCCTCTGTTCCTTCTCCTCTCCTCACCTGCTCGAGGAGGAGGGGAGCAGGTGGCTGGCGAGCCGCTGGGAGGGACTGGTGTGAGGGTGAGGCATTGAGGCAGAGGCGGAGGCGGAGGCGGAGCGCAGTGCGGGGGAAAAGGGGGCAGGGACCCAATCATGCCACGCTGTGCAGTGCAGCGCAGAGGCGGCGTGGGTGGCTGACCGCGCTGGGGCCGGGGTGCGCCCCCGTCGCGGCACCCCTGGTCCTTGCTTGGTCCTGCCACTGCTCGCCTGGGCGGTGGTTGGCTGCTGCCGTGAATGTGTCGTGTGATGGTGGGTGGCGCCGTGGAGGAGGACCGGAGGAGCAGCGCAGGGCCTCCCCCTCCCGCGTCGGCCTCCCGGGTCAGAGCAGAGCCGAGGTCGAGGGCCGAGCCGAGCAGGGGAGCCAAAGCCAACAGCCCACGATGGAGGGAGGGTCCGGCTCCGGCAGGCACACGGGTGCCTGCGCTCCTCACAACGGCCGGCGCCAACTACTCACTCCTCTCCTCTCCTCTCCTCCGTGAGACCGTGACCATGAGAAAGAATGGAAATCTTAACAATTTTAAGTTTAGCGGAAAATGTAAAACAATATTAATCTCTTACTAGACGAAACGTGCACCGTGAGATCTAGCTTCTTATCTTGCCACGTGTCAGCTATTCACAAGGCCACGTTTACAAGGCCACAAAACGAGCACCCAAATAAAGCTAGCTTCTTAACTTGCCACGTGTTCAACTATTCACAAGGCCACGTTCACCAGGCCACAAAACGTAGCTTCTTATTTTGCACATATCAAGCCGTGTTTCTAGAAAGTACAAGAGCTTAGTTTCAAGCAATACCTGACCGAGGCACTAACCACTTGATCTGTGCAGAGGCTGCCCACCGAGCAAACGCTCTTCGCGTTACACAGTCTGTTCGGTTCGCTAGTTTGTTTTGTTGCTGGTTCGTGAAGAAGTACTGTTGGCTGGTTTGTGTGAGAGAAAAATACTGTTCTAGCTAGAAATTTACGATCGTTTACGACAAGCCACAGCCAAACAAACAGGCTGTAACTTGGCCAGACACTGATGACAGTATGACACAGAGGCAAGTAAAAATCAACAGAGGCGGTTAACATGTGCTCTGTTCGTTTGGCTGATAAGTCATGGCTAAAAGTACTGTTGGCTAATTTGTTGTGAGAGAAAAATATTGTTTGTTGGCTGAAAAAGTACGACTTATAAGCCAAGCGAATAGGGCGTTAATCAAGACCAAATGCTCTACACCAACAGTATTCTAGCAGGAATAAAAAAAGGAGACGATTTCACCAAAACCGTGCAAGTTAATAAATAATATATTGGTTGGAACAGGTACCTAATCCAAGATCCACACAACGTAATTAAGATTTATTCTCTCAAGGTGTTGAAGTCGATTAAGTTTGATGCCGCCTTTGTCGGATTAGGCTCTACCCGTCATCGCCGCGCAAACAAACCACCCGCAGCACCGACCCATAGGGTTTCGAATTTTCGTTGTTTAATGACAGAACGAGCAGTGAGGAGATACGACCAAGAGCCAAGCGACCGTACCACGGTAGAGATGGAAAAGGCTACAAATTGAGACCCGTATTGGGCTGCGAGTTATGAGACCTCTTGCCGGCCCACTACGAAGCTGGGGTTCATCTTTACCAGCCCGTTCGTTTTGACTGAAATGATCGTGGATTATTACTTATACTTGGTTTAGTGTGAAAAATGGATGTAAAAAGTCAAAACGACTTATAATTTAGAAAAGAAAGTATTATTTTTATTTTATGTAATATTCTTCGTACAGGCAATCAAAGAGCATATATTCTCGGTTAGACTAAATAGATAGGGGTAACCAAACCTGACACTAACCTGGCTCCCGGATACGAGCCATGTTCGAGTGTTCGACTCATACCATACGTGAACGAATCACCAGGTTTCTACCTTTTTTAGACAGAATCCTGCACGGCCCGGTCTGCTGATACTCAGGGCCAGCTCGTGACCGACCGAGGAATCTTCTGTCTGGATTCCTACGGCAGGAGCGTCCAAAAACGGTCGGGCGCCAGTAGCATGCAGAATACGGGACGGCCGCCGGCCTCTGCTGTTCGTTTTCTCGTCTCGTCTCGTCTCGTCTCCGGTCTCTTCTCAGCCTGGACGGCAGGTCGTAAACGATCGTGGATTATTTATTGCTAATTAGTTTGGTGTGAGAGAAAAATACTGTTCTGATTGAAAATTTACGATCGTTTAAACAAACTGGCTGCTGATAATAAAGTGCTGATCCAATCAGCAACGCCTACCTGATCAGAAATTTCCAGCGCAAATAAAAAATCTATGTGTTGTTGGTGGTGTGCGGTCCTTGGCTACCCGTGCTCTTAGCAAGATATTCTTGTTAACTCCTATCTTGGCAAGATATTCTTGTTAACTCCTTTGCTTTGCTGTTAATCTCTTCCTCGGGCCTCGGCAGCGGCGGATCCATGAAATATTTTAGGGGGGGCTGAACAACACTGCTGCTCGATCTTAAGTCTCAGCTCCCCTACACTATAGAACTTTGCCTAAAAATTCATATGGGCTCTACAGTAATTTGCACTGATTCGGTATGGGTAGGGGGGGCTTGAGCCCCCCGGCCCCACTGCTGGATCCGCCCCGGACCTCAGCTGGTGGTAATCGGCGACTGCCAATCATTCCTGACATTGTCAGTGTCCGATTTTTTTTTCTTTTTTTTCTTTTTTGAAAGATTTTCATAGATATGCCCCCGGTGGTATGTTTTCAAAATCCAGACCCTCACCTCGACGCCATGGTAATTGGCGCCGAGCTTACACGTCTCGGTGCCAGCGTAATTTGGCGCCAAGATCGTGGAAGCTGGCATGGACGTGGCGGATTCGTGGCAGGGTGCTCAGCGTCAAGATCTTTGGCGCCGTGATCGGCTGACATATGGGCCCAATTTTCTTTCTTTCCTCTCTTTTTCCTTTCTCATTTACTTCTTCCTGACCGCCAGCCGCCACGCCTGCTGGCGTCCACACTTGACCGTGGTCGGCGCCGCTCCTCCTGCCCCAGAGTGCCACACCCCTCCGCCCGCCACTGGCTTGCGCCGCCCCAACCGTCCTGCCCATCCGCCTCCTCCTCCTTGCTTACACGCCCACGACCGGGCGCCGCCCTTCCTCGTGGCCTTGAGGGCAGGGTTGTGGCGCCGAGGTCGGGCGACTTGCACGCACTGCCGGTGCTTGTGAGCCCACTGCACCAGCTACTTCTCCTCTTCACTCGAGCAAGGTACAATTAGTTGGATAATTTTGTTAGTAGTTACCAATAGTTAGTTCAATGGTGTGTTAGTTCTTGATTTAGATAGGTAGATAGATGGATAATTAGGGTGATTGTTAAGTTAGATAGTTAGTTAAATACCTTGTGTAGTTAGATATTTATGTAGTTAGATACATACATACTTAGTTACATAGGTAGTTTGTAGTATTTAGTAATAGTCGTTAGTTACTTGATAGTATCTATTTAGTTAATTATTTACCCACTAGAGACCTTCTATTATTCATCTTGCATATATTTTGGACTAAAGAAAACGTGCTTCGTTATGTGTATGAAATAGATGGACAACCTAGTGAGCATATACATCATGGAGGCACCGTGGAAAGAGATTGCTATGGATATATTGAGTTTGTTGACATGTAAAGCGTGCATGTGTTATTCAATGAGAAGCCTTCATTTAGTGAGTTGGTTGCAAGGGCTCGAGGAAGGAGCTACATTGTGGTAGAACCGTCCGAAATAACACGCTTTCGGAGGCGCTTGTCTTCCACTAGACACTAAGCACTCCGAAAATTTGCTACATCGGACAGTTCCGTCGAGCACACCCCACGGGAGAACTCGAATCAATCCACGTTTTACTTCTAGAATCC